CCCCCCCCCCCCCCCCCCCCCCCGTCAAGCAGCCGTCTTTCTCTGTTGCCATAGCGCAAATCACAGGGGTATTTACCGTAAGCCTTGGTTGAGAAGCCCCGGGTCATCAGCAGGACAACAAACTGGAGAGGACAGGTCTGCACCTTGGTCTGAGCCCCCTGCCCCACCGCTGGCCTGGGTCGAGATTCCAGGGCTTCACCTGGCCCAGCGCTTTGCCTCTCTGCTCTGCTGTTGGGCGTCCTCTACCACATGGAAAGCCGGCTCGGAGGGGCACACGGTGGGGGAGGGATGCCCTCCGCCGGCAGGGAACGCGGGGTGGGCGCCAGGGTGCCCTACGTGATCAGCAGGGCCTGGCCCATTCTCAGTCGCCTACCCCACTGGAGGCTGCTGCTGGACTGCCCCGTGTCCCCCACTTCGCACTTTCTTGTCGAGGGTCCCGGAGACATGGGTTTCCGGGCAGCTGGTCCAAGAGACAACACACGTTTAGGTACCATTCCTTCGCTTTTTCGTCCTCTAAGTAGTAGCCCTAGGAACCTGTGCTTTCCTAGAACTTTGGGGTTCGTCCTAGAACTCAAAGACGACGGGAGAGGGCGAGGATTTGATTTACGAGACCCTCCCAGTTTTGCCTTTCTGCTACCAAACCTGCAGTGCTCTCGCCCCTCCTTCAGTGGTCCATTGCTGCGTCTTGGGACGACTCTCGCCGACTGGAGAACTCAGCCAGGTCTTCCCCGCTCGCCCCTAACGCAGCCTCTAGAGACTCGGGGAGCTCGCACATCCCCTTAGGCCCTTAGGCGCACGGGATCCCTGACTCCCCGATCTGTGTTCTTGGATCTCACGGGTTTTTGTTTGTTTGTTTGTTTTCCTGCATAGACCCGGCAAGAGAACACAATGGAAACACACCAGAGTAAATCCTTCGGGGCCAAGACTCGTGCCCTGCAGAGAGTGGGCGGTCTCTGCTGCCCCCGCAGCCCCCCAGCCGCATCCTCACTTCTCCTTTCGCCTTTAGCTCGGGGATTGTCTTGGATTTCCGCATCTTCCGCGGTCCCTCCCTCTCCACCCTCCCCACGAGCTTGAGAGTCAGTCAGCCGCTCCTCTTCCATCCACCTGCCAGGCGCTGTGCCAGGCGCTGGGGGTTCCCGCCCTCCGGTAGCTTACAGTCTAGTGGAAAAAGCAATCGCCAGCATTCATTGAGCGTGTACTGAGCCCCCGGCGTTCTGCCAAGCCCTTTACACCTTCCTCACATCCTGGGAATGGCCCTATGCGGTGGATACAATATCGTCGTCCACACTGAGGAAACCAAGGCTTAGACAGAATCACTTGCTTACAGACAGGCAGCAGAGTCCGGGTTCGAACTCAGGTCTAGACCACAGAGGCAAGGCCCTTGCCGTGGCTCCCGGCTGGGTTTCTGGCCTGGGGACCGCGGGGGAAGGCTGCACCACACCTACCTCTCTGGGGCCTGGTGCCGCGGAGCACAGATGGGACGCGGCCTTGGCCGTCCCGAGGTCGAGTACGCCCCTTCGACCCCAAGGAGCGGACGGGGGGTGGGCTCTCCAGGGAGACGAGGAGGTGGGGCGACTGCGCAGGAGGTATCCACGCGCGGACCCCAGGAAGATTCGCGAACAGACTCGAGACCCGAGTCACCCAGAAGGGCGCGAAGCGGGCGCCCACCGGCCCTACACTCAAAGCCGACCTCTGGGGACC